CGGCAGAATCATCCGTAGCTTATATCGTAGCCCATCATGCCATACTCGATCAAAGGCCTCTTGGATATCCATATATGTAGCAGCACAGTACTGGTTCCTTTCATATGCTTCGAGTATAAATTGCGTGACTCGGCCAATCTGCTGGTCTGCTCCGTGTTCGCTGCGAAAGCCAAATTGATGCTTTGGAATAGCATGTATAAAACCATCTGATTCGTACATTCGTCTAAGCAGCAAGTGCTCGAATATTTTTGAAAGACCTGATAGCAGACTTATTGGTCTGTATGAATTTAGTTGCTCTTGCGGCTTGCCAGGCTTAGGAATCATAATGACCACAGCACACTTCCATTTGCTAGGAAAGTAGCCCAAGCGCAGTATGCTATTATAAATGAGGCTAAGGTACTGGAGAGCAACTAACGGCAAGGCCTTTATAGTCCGGTTGTCAATTGTATCAAGCCCAGGAGACTTTTTACGTTTAAGCGCCTTGATTTCTGCTATTACCTCAGCATCTGTTATTGGCCGAAAATGCATCTCTGCGTGCGTTGGAGGTAGCTGTAGTTGACTCGAGATGTGCTCTCTGTCAGCTGTTGAGGCAGTAATAATAGGCTTGAATCTCTCTTCTAAATTTTGAGCAAACGCTTCCGCTTTTTCTTGCGTAGTTTTACACCACGCGTTGCTGTCTTCTGCGCTGCTGCCAGGTTGAATGAACTTTTTAACTGGCACATTTGGCGCAGGCTGCCGTTTAATGCCGTTTGTTAGTCGCCACAGCTTTTGAAAGTTGTAGCGGTCACTAGGATCTATAGATTCAAGCAAGCTATTCAGACGTCTCTCCTTGGCTTCTTTTAAAGTTCTTCTGACCTGGTTTGCGAGACTGTCATGAATTCTTTTGGCTAATGGGTGTCGGTTCACAAGAAAATGACGTTTGAGCAGTCTTTTGGCCTTGATCATTAATTCCAGAGACCTGCTGAGTGGGCACTGGTTTTGCGCTCGTTGGTGGTATTGAATTGCGTGAGAGTTTGTTGCATATTGTGCTGCTGCTCGAATATTACGCTCAAGAATATCTGTGGCATCCTCAATATCTGCAGCTGAGTGGATTTCTGTATCCAGCAGTACATGCTGGTTTAGCCAGGCTTGAAAGCGAGCAACACTCGCGTTAAGTGGTAGTAGATAGCACCTTGACTTGTTAAATGCCGGGGTTTCAAGAAGTTCGATTAATAGAGGGAGATGATCAGAGCCAAGGTCGTGTGTAGCGCTTATCTGTAGGAGTTCTCTCTGCAGTCCCTTATAGACAGCAAAGTCTATTGCTGACGGCGATTGTCTAGCATTGTACGGGAAGTGTGTTGAGGACCCAGTTGCAAGAATCTCACAATTATTTTGCTGTACATATCTGAGAAGATTACCACCTCGTCTGCAGGATCTAGCATTGCCCCACCAATGACTTTTCGCATTCCAATCTCCTGCAATGATGAACTTGTTGCCGAGCTCACGAAGAGCAGCAAACAGCTCATCTTCGAGTTCAATCAGGGGCGGGCAATATACTGCTGCGATGTTAATAGCAGACCCATTAAGCAGAGTGATTTTTGTTGCCGCGCACTGCATTGATATAGCGCTAGTGAGAGGAAGAGCGATATGCTGTAGACTGTGCTTGACCAGTATAGCTGCGCCTCCTCGTCGCGTATTAGATGGGTGATGTGCTTGATATGCATAGTAGCCGTCGATCTTGATTTCGTCTGTGCCGCGCAGGTGAGTTTCAACTATGATCATGATGTCAATATTGTTCTGATAGATGAATGCCTCCATTTCTAACATTTTGTTTCGCAACCCACATGCATTCCATGAGGCGATTTTGAGCCCGTTTGATCTGCGATTACTGCTATCTTGACGGACTGTGCTAGGTATATGGTTGTTAAACATTTTGTTTGCTAGTAACTTGCTCCTTTGCCATTAGGCAAGATGTCAAGTTGGTAAGTAAGTTCAGAAGTTTATCTAGCTTGTTTTCAACGTTGGAGTTGGCTCTCAAACGATCTTCAGTCATTAAAGTGATAAGAGTGTCCAGTTTTTGACCAATGTCGCAGTTTGTGTTTAAGTTAGTAGCGCTCCGTCGCGTACTGCAGCTGCGGCTTCTATTTTGCTGGCGTGCCAGCGTTTGTTGACCATCCATTTGCCTGCGAGTCGGGAGTTGTTGTTGCTTAGGGCGTGATTGGCGATGCTGCTGTTGGGCTGTCTGCCGCTTTAGCTTCTGTTGTTGCTGCTTTTGCGAATGCATATCCGGCAAGCCAGAACGCAAGGCCGACGCATAAGAATTTGCAGCAAAGTTCACAGTTTGTTGTTGTTGTTGTTGTTGCTGCTGATCAATATGTACCCGTTGGCGCGTCTTTGAGCGTTGACGTTGATCTTGCTGCTGTACCGATTTCGGCGGCTGCTGCTGTCGCTGTTGTGACCGTTTTCTTTGGCGACTACGCATAACTGGCAATGTTGGCTGTCCTAGCTGAGCAAGTAGGACATTGGCTTTGACCACGCTCTCAGACTCTTTTTGCTTGCAGGCATCCTTGAAGGACTGACACCCTTTGTAGCTAGCCGCATGTGGGCCTTCACAATTAGCGCATTTTGGCCGATCGTTAGCCGTTATGCTGCACTCAGTAGAAGGATGTTTCCCGCTACATTTGACGCATACGAATGCACGCCTGCAATAATTCTTCGTATGCCCAAATTGTTGGCAGCGATGACATTGCACTATATCGGTAGTTCGTAGTGGTAGCTCAACTTTGACCTTTTGGCCGCCGAGCATGTTGAGCCTTAAAATTTCGCTGTTATTTGCCTTGGGCTCCAATTCTATCTCAAACATGTCCATTGGCTCCCTAGTGAATCGTTTTTTAATAACACTAACGAATCGGGCTTTGTGCCCCAGGTCAGACAATTTAGTGCGAATCCAATCCGCCGGAGTAGAGCGATGTAAATGGCGCATGATAATTTTGAAGCCACGTTCGTGCTTCAGTTGGTATGTATGTGAAGCAATGGAGTTATCTTGGAAGTACTGTACTAGCTTTCGGTAAGAATCTACATCGTTGCAAAGCACTTGCAGGCCCTGACCAGCAGAAGGCTTAGTTGCATAGGTGCCCTCACCAATGACATCATTAATGCCTTCAATTAATGGCATTATTTCCGGAACAAAAGGTATGAAAAGTGGCGCTGGTTTGATTTTTTGTACCTTGGGTACTGGGGCCCTTACGTCAACACCAGCAGAATTTGCATGATTTACCGTAGTGTTGTTGTTTACATTTACATTAGTAATGTTTGGGGCAGGCGCATCGGTTACTGGATCAACAGCGTCAATCTGCATGTCTTCATCAGGATGGTCTGTAACCCAGAGTTCATGCTGTTGGCCGTTCCCAAGGAGATTTTCTAATTCTTCACTCAGGGCGGCATCATTAGCAGCAGCCTTGCTTATATCGGCTTCTAGCATCTTGATTCGCTTGGCGCTGTTATCTGGAATTGCATGGCGTTTAGAAACCTTACCCTTGAGTTTTTTATCACTAGCAATTTTGGTCAGCAAGTCAGCAAGAGTTGACTTCTTAGTAGTTGCGGCTGCGTCGGGGGCAACTTTATTAGCAGCAGCTAAGCCTGCGGCACGCGAGGTGCTGGGCGCATGATTTAGCTGCTCATTGTTATTTTGATTGGCATCAATTTGCATTGCAGGGATTTTCAACGCATTATTAGCTGAGAATGGACCGCGGCCAGCTTTGATTAGCTGAATTTCAATGTCCGAGTCTTCCTCATCAATCGGTGTCGTGATTTGTTTATTGTTATGTTGACGCTGTGCCATGTAAACAGTTTGAGAGGCATACGAGAAAGTAAGAAGTCTGGTCTCACTATTATTTAATAGATCATGTGATATCGATTCTTTCTGTTATTACATGTGTTTTATATCGTCCTATCGATAAGTTTTTATTTACAGCACTAGCACAAATACGGCTGGGCCTAGTGCCCTTTGCCCTTTGCTGCACCGAAAAATGTGCAATTTTCTATTTGATAGTTTTTCAGACAAAATGTATGTGGTTTCACAATTTTTGATTTTTCACGTGCGCCGCGCACTCTCGCGGACACATTGCCACCACTTTAGTAATTTTCAATTTTTGATTTTTTTTTGACTTTTTTTTGACTTTCCGTTTTTGACTTTCCGTATGCTCGTTTTTTTTTTTGACACACGCACTAGACCAACATTCAAATTGCACCAATCCGCACCTGCATAGCAGGAGGGGGGGTGCAGCTAGTGTTGGTATTCTTTATTCAACATTAATATTTGACATATTTTAATTGAATTTTTTAGCGCCTACATTTTAACATTTCTGTTAACTTACAATTTAACATTATGTTATTTACAGGCACATATTAGCAAGTCCCATCACTAGGACAATTTAACATTAAAAAGGTAAACAAGTTTTCCGCTGTTAACAGGCACAGCTTTTAGCTATTGTGTCTTTCAAAGGTAAGTTAAATTTGAATTTAATTTTAATAATCTTATATTTATGCTGCATGGTCTTCTTTTCAGGTTTCCTTCGTGCTGCATTTGTTGGAGAAGGTGGACGATGTGCATATTTGCACTCTTCAGAAGGCGCTAAACGATATAGCCAATTTGATCATAACGACTGCTTCGAAGTGTGAGTAGTTGATCTTTGTTTGAATTAGTGGATTATAAACATGCAATCCTTGCATCTCAGCCGTTGTTACCGGTCAGATAAGTAGCGGCTGCTACTTTTTGATTTTGACTTTCCGTATGCTCGTTGACACACGCACTAGACCAACATTCAAATTGCACAATCCGCACCTGCATAGCAGGAGGGGGGGTGCAGCTAGTGTTGGTATTCTTTATTCAACATTAATATTTGACATATTTTAATGAATTTTTTAGCGCCTACATTTTAACATTTCTGTTAACTTACAATTTAACATTATGTATTTACAGGCACATATTAGCAAGTCCCATCACTAGGACAATTAACATTAAAAAGGTAAACAAGTTTTCCGCTGTTAACAGGCACAGCTTTTAGCTATTGTGTCTTTCAAAGGTAAGTTAAATTTGAATTTAATTTTAATAATCTTATATTATGCTGCATGGTCTTCTTTTCAGGTTTCCTTCGTGCTGCATTTGTTGGAGAAGGTGGACGATGTGCATATTTGCACTCTTCAGAAGGCGCTAAACGATATAGCCAATTTGATCATAACGACTGCTTCGAAGTGTGAGTAGTTGATCTTTGTTTGAATTAGTGGATTATAAACATTGCAATCCTTGCATCTCCAGCCGTTGTTACCGGTCAGATAAGTAGCGGCTGCTACCACCATGTCGTCTGTTGGTCAACCAGCGGAATATATTTTTGCAGCCTGATTAACTGGAGTCGCATGTTGACCAGCGCTGATCTAGGTACCACAAATTCGAGTCCAAAGTTCGCAGGAGCAGCCGTCGCCAGATGATCGCCACTGTGCTGGATATTGGAGTCTGAATTGCTGCAAACGTGCTAGCCGCTGTCGTCTGGTAGTATGCATCGATAATAGCTTCTTGCAGCATATCTTCTGATTCTCAATCTTTGTTGCAGTTGCCGTTCGATCAGACGCCATTGACGTGGAAGCTGCTCTGGTCGAGTTGTCTGATTTGAGCGCTGAATGCACCTAAACGTAACCATGATAACGAGATCAGTAAATCCTTCGCCATTTTGCACATCTGGTATGCCGTCAATTGTGTGCCTCACAGACAAGCTGATAGCCGACGCCGTATTGGTTGCCTGTGCTGTTGTTGTGTTTGTGTGGGTGCTCGTCGTTGGAGAAATGCCCATTGCGCTGCGGTTGGCTGCTGCAGAGTTCGCTGGAAATATAAAAATACTCGTTATCGGCACGGCTTCTTGTTGGGCCGGTGGCATAGCGAAGTACGCTTGCCTTGCCAGACGTCTTGCTTGTAGTCGCTCTTCTAGCCGCTGTAGTGCCTGCTCTCTTTGCGCATATATTTGAGCATATATTTGTATCGACTCTTGATGTTCTCGAAGCATTTCCTGTCTATGTTGCTCTTCTCTTTGTTGCCTCTCTATTCTCCGCTGTGCGCGTTCTGCTTCTCGTTGTTCGGCGCGCTGTTGTTGATAGCTTCTTTGCCTACTAAGGCGCTCCAAAATGCTTTGCTGCAGAGCAGTTAGTGGCCGTTCAACAGATCTTCCATGTATAGGTCGGTGTGCCTCAATTTCTGCCATTCGTTGTTGAGCTTCTAGCAGCTGCTGCTCTTGCTGTCGCTGCACATGGGGCATATGTCTTTGTAGCATTCGGCTGTACCTCTCCCTAGTTAGCCGCTGCGGTACATATGGGTTGATTGCTAGGTCTTTCGCCAGGCAGTTGCTGTGATTCAAAAGGCGCTGCACATATTTGCTACATGCCTCATTGTAGACGTCATCTACACTTGCAACTTCCAGATCATTGCTTATGGTGCTATTGCGCACGTACCATGGTGCACCTGCGATCGATCTGAGAATTTTATTTTGCA